GCCCTCGCGCGCGAGGCGTCGCGATCGCGGGCGCGATGCGCCTCGCGATCGCGGGCGCAGGGGACAGGAAGAGGAGGCCGTCTTGAAACCCAAGACGGGCGGCGCCCCCCCGAAGGCCGACATCGTGAAGCGTGAGGCCGTCCTGAAGCCCAAGAGCGGGGGGGCGCCGCCGCGGTCCTTCGAGGTGAAGACCGAGGTGGAGGAGGCGGCGGCGCCAGGCGCGGGGGACGGTCCGCCCCAGCGCCAGCCGCGCTCGAGGAGCCGCCGTAGGCGCAAGGAGGAGCAGCGCCAGGGCGCCCAGCAGCAGCCCAGTGACCAGCACGACGAGGGCGAGTCCATCATCCGCATCGAGCGGGTACCGCACCACGTCGACGCCGAGGTGGTCAGGCAGGTGGTCGTGCCCTTTGGGGTCGTCAAACACATCGCCTTCCTGTACGACCACCGCCACAAGCGGGAGCCGTGCGTGCTGGTGGAGTTCCAGCGCCGCGCTGACGCAAAGCGCGCGCGGGAGTGCATGAGGTCGAACTATCGGTTCTACAAGACGGACCCGTGCACGGTGGTCACGGAGTGGGCGAGCCGACCTCGCGGCCCTGACCCAGGCAGCGACGGGGAGGATGGCCCGACCATCCAGCCGCCTGCCTGCCCGACGTGCGCACTCAAGATGCGCTGGAGCTCCTTTGACCCGGGAGACGGTTGGGGTTGCGAGATGTGCCCCGCGGGCGGAGCTAACAGCGGAGCCCTGCGGTGGCACTGTAAGGGGTGCGACGTGAGCTACTGCGAGGCTTGCCGCGTCGCCTTCGGCAAACCCAAGACGGTGGTGGAGAAGGCCCGGCGGAGCGGCCACACCGTGCGGGAGGCGCCGGGCCCCAGTGCCGGCCATGGAGAGCGCCCCAGCACGGGTGCCACGGGTGCGGGGGCTGAGGGGGACCGCCCGCCGGGCGACCTCAGCTGGCCCAAGCGTGAGAGGTCGCCCAGCCGCAACCGGCCCAAGCGCGAGAGGTCGCCCAGCCGCAGTCTGGCGCGGGACCCAGCGTGGGCGCGGCGCGGCGACACCCCGCCCGGCCGCACGCGGCGTAAGACCGGGAAGCACGCTGGGCAGCTTCGCGCTCCTCGCGGCGGCTGGTACGAGCAGGAGAAAAAGCGGCGGCGTGCTGCCGCCGCGGAGGCTGCCGCGGGCGGGGGTGGGATCCCAGCCTGGCGTGGCAAGGGCGCGGGCGACAAGGGCGGCAAGGGCGGCAAGGTCAAGGGCAAGCACTCCGGCAAGGCCGCCAAGGGCTCCAAGAGCGGCGGCGAGGGCGACAAGAGCGGCAAGGGCGGCCACTCCAAGGGCGACCAGGGCAGCCGCGGCCGGAGTGAGCGTGACTGGCCCAGCGCGGACGGTCGCGCGTCGAGGGGCGGCGATGGCGGCAGCCCCCGGGACCCCAGTGAGCGCGGCGGAGACCGCAGCGGAGACGAGAGCCGCGACCGCCAGGGGAACACGCCCTCCATCTCGGCGTGGAGCCCCCCCCGTACCCCGACGCCAGCGCCCGCGGCATCGCGGGCGCGGGCTGAAGGCGGCGGCCTGTGAGTGAGCCGGCCCTCCTCTCAGCCTACCGTGCGCAGGTGGCGCCTGCGATCCTTTGAGCCTACGGTACGCAGGTGGCGCCTGCGATCTTCTTTCTTTTAGCCTACGGTACGCAGGTGGCGCCTGCGATCTTCTTTCTTTCAGCCTACGGTACGCAGGTGGCGCCTGCGATCCTCTCTCTTTGGAGGAGTTTAACTTTGCGCGCACGTCGCGTGCTTCCTGGACCCGGCCGTGCCGCGCGTCTTGCGCGCCGTGCGGTCGGGGCCACACTTGCGCTCTGCGCCCGGCGCATCGTGCGCCGTCCCCTTTCGGTTCTTTTGCGCGCATCGCGCACGCGCCGCGCCCGCGCTCTGGGTGCGCGGGGCGCGGAAGGCCTCAAGGTTGCAGGCAAGTGGCCGTGCGCGCGAGGCTCTTGCAGCCTCTGGTTCCGCCCTCGCACTCGGGCGGGGCGTCCCCGCGCGCGCGGCTGCGTCTTTCTTTTCTCATGGCCGAGCGGCCGCAGGCGTGCCAGAGCGCGAGCGCGCGGGCCGTCAGGGCCCACGCGCTCGCGTTGAGCGTGGGGCCATCAGGGCCCACGCCCAGGCGGAGATGCGCGTCGCCACGCTGCCATGAAAATACCATCGCCCTGTCCTGGTCCCCCTCTCGTCCCCTCCTCTCCTCCTCTCCCTCCGTTGAGTGCACGCGTATCTCACTTAACTTGTATAGTCTGATTGGTTGTAGACTGCAGGTTAAGTGGGAGGGGGTGTGGGCTCAGGTAGCCATTTTGGGTCCGTAGCGTTCGGCTCTGGCCGACGCGCGGGTGCCCACCCACCCCGCTTTGCTCCCAGACGCCTGTGTCGGCCGAGCGGCCGCAGGCGTGCCAGAGCGCGAGCGCGCGGGCCGTCAGGGCCCACGCGCTCGCGTTGAGCGTGGGGCCATCAGGGCCCACGCCCAGGC